CCCCCCCCGGCTGAACTAAATGCATCATCCCTACCCACGGCACCCTAAACATTAACTAGTAGCCATGCTTCTTAGGTATTGGACTGGTTCCCTCTGCTCAAAACACTTGTTCTGAAACTACCTGCTGTGTTTGCCTTCTGCTTTGATTTAGAGAAATATCAAGACCTATCTGGTCTGATTTGTCTATTATAATACAAAATAGAACTTCTGCATTTTTTCCCCTAATCATTGTTCAGTTACATGTTCTAAAACCAGTTCTGAGTATTGCTTTTTGGCTTGCTGACCTCTTGTTTTAGTCACAAAGATGTTACACACACATGTGCGCACGCACAGAGAACGCCTCTGACAAACAGGTTATTTGTCTATTATATGAGCTCTGCTATGTATGGATGCCATGTTCGGTAGCCTTATCTCCTGCTAAACAAAGTTTTCCCACCTGCTCAACTCTGAAGACTGACTGCCACCAAAATCTGCAAAGATCATTTAAAACTAAGCTAAATTGTGAACAGATAGTGTGTGTAGGCCTGTAGTTAGGTGTAGCAATTCAAACTGACCTGCATCCATCCAAAACAAGTTGCTCCTTCTCCAAACCTAATTTTTACTTGAAATCAGCTAGAAGAAATGACAAATTGAAATTTATTTTATTTGCAAGTTGATACCACTGGCTCAGCAAATCTAGGGCAATTTGTTTTGGGGGTTGTCTTTTCAAAGAAATGCACTACGGCCTGGGAAGATTAGTTCCTGCCTGGAGGAAGCCCTTTTATTATTGCTGCAGAAAACAAAGCCTGGCTGAGTTTGATGTTCTAATTTTTTTTTTCTTTACTGAAAGCCACATAATGCTTCTTGCTGGGTTTTTTGTGTACATAAACATTGTCAAGCTGTGAAAGAAAATGGCTGAAGGTGTGCTGTTGTATAAAAGGTGAGCAATAAAAGTATCTGTATGTTCACTTTGCTTTAGTTTCTTTTTCTTCGTGGAAGTAAAAAGCAGTTACTACAGTACCTGGAAATTTGCGGGGATTTCTGTCTGCTTCATCTATTTTATATTTTAATCTATTAGATGTTCTAGTTATCCCAGCAGTACTGTGTATTCTGTGCCCTGAGAAGCTGTCAGAACAAGGGAAGGGTGGACAGGAGAAATTGATTTTCATTTGCTCTTGAGTTTTTGTTCTATGCCTCCCTCTGACGTGGTGTAACAGTATGGTCTCTCTTGGGTGTCACTCTATAAAGTTATTCTGTGTGAGCACCCATCTCCCAAGTGATGCTTCTGCATGCCATGTGAACATGGTATGCTGCTTCTGGGAATTCTGATGCTCTCCAGCCTTGTGGAAAATGTAGGTTCCTGCTACTGTGCTTGGATTGCTGTAGCAGAGGCTGTGCTGATGGCAATCTGGCTACCTCAGGTGTCCTTGGGGCTCAACCCAGATTGATGCAGGCAGGAGGAGTTCCTTGGATTATAGAAACAAGAGCATTTGAGAGAATCTGTGTGACGCTGTAATTCAAGCTAATAATATAATAAGATTATAAACATTGTTTAGAACATTTCTGTGTATTTAATTCCATCATCAACCTGAAAATTGTTTAATTTATTGCGGCCACTAGGTGCTGCTAATGATTCACAGGTTGGAAGCAAAGGTCTCTGAAAGACACGTGGGAATCTGACTTAATGTCTTCTCACTTTGTAATGTTTCAAACAACGTTAACAAGCCTGATGAGGGAAAAGTTTTCTATGTTGAATCCACGTCTTTGAGGATAACCGATCTAGATCTATCTCAGCATAATACAGTTCAACTTACGGACATCTAAAAATTAATGTTGCAGCTTCACAGATGTATTGATGGTCTCACAAGGTGGTGCTCTGGAGAAGGTATCTCCTTTGTTACGAGCATTAGCTGGTAACTAGCTGCAGAAATGATTAGTGACTTTTTTAAGAAGATTCCTATAACTGAGTCAGCCTTGGATTGGCAGAGACTGAGAGTTAAAGAGCCTTTTTCTGGGAATGTAATATCTTCAAGGTGACAGCGTCTGCTTTTCTTCACATCACTCCTCACTTTAAAGAGTTTGGTGTTTACTGTCAGTGCATTAGAATGCTACAAACCAGTTCCTAGCAAGAGGCAACCCCTCTCTTCAGAGAGCCTCTGGTTGAGTTGCATCAGCACCTTCAGAAGCTTCTTTCTGTGCTAGAGCTGCCAGTTTCTCTGTGAGGCTATGGCTGTTGCTGCAGTGGATAGTCTCTCTTGTTGCACACTGTGACATGGTGAAATGATGCTGAGGTGGAGTAGGAGGACAGAACTTACCCCTTATTCCAGCTAGCTTTTACTCCTCAAAATATGTTGCTTCTCCCCTCTCTTCCAGGACTTATGGTAAGCTGAGTCAAAAAAAAAAAAAAAAAAAAAAAAATCAATTCAGAAGGTGGCAAAACAGGAGTCTTTTCCAACAGGAAAGAAAACACTTTGCTTCTGCCAGCTGTTGTTGTTTTTCCTTACTCTATTGTTTCCTGCTAGTGTGCTGTGACTTTTCTCCAGAGAAAACAAGCTTTGTATATGTGGAGAAGAGCAGCTTTGATTAATGAAAGCAAACAGCCACTGCTTTGTTACTGTCTGTACGATGCTCTGATATTTACTGTTTTCCAAACAGGATTCCTGCTGCACTGAGAAGAATCTCTTAACTGGAAGCTAGGAGAGGAGAGATGGGTTGTGGAGATCATTAGGCTTGTGGTGGATTGGATAGATGTGCTTGATTTCATGTGCATCATGATTGAAAGCAGAACACCGTCAGATCAAGAAGGCAATTAAGTAAGCCAGCATTTATACAGGGGAATAGTGTTCTTCCTTTTGACCACCGTTGTTCTTGCCACTCTTCTCTACAAGCTTTAGGCATCTTGTTCTGTTTTTCCCATCTGCTTTTCTGTAATAACTTGTTTCCTAAAGGCTTTGCTTGCATTGCCCTACCATTCCATCTATTAGGATCACCCTCTCAAGTGTTGTTGTGCGGTAAAATAACTATGGGGAGCAGGGGACATGCTTTCTTCCCACATCCCACATATTAGTATGTGACTTAGAATACTATGATTTATATGTACTGTGGTCACAGTTGGGTTTTCCGTGATGGTCTAAGGAATGGATGAAAATTCCTTACTGTGTGTAAAACACAGAAGGGAAGGCATCAAGCTGAGCTTGCACCATGTATCACGCACCCCAGAAAGCCTTTTTGCTTGTAGCTGTTCCCTGAGTAGTTTGTCACCTTTAGGATTGGTGTTGGCTGGTAATCCTTAGCTCACTTGATGAGATTCCTCCACTTCTCTAGTCAAACTCCTGAAGTGCCGTTACAGCTGTTGGCCCCCAGAGAGGCTCCTCTAGCTGTGGGTTAGATTTCTCAGCTAGAGCATGTGGGTAACCAGCTTTAACGTGGTGGGCCCTTTGACTATGTGTCTCCATTAAACTGCTATTTGCATCTGAATCAACGAAAGTGGCAAGTGCCTCAACTAACCCCAGGCCTCATTAGAAACTAGACACTTACCAGTCAAGTACCTATGAGAGAACTGGGAAGAAGGGAAGCAAGATTTGTCAGTAGATAGTTTGAGAAGTGGCTGGAGCTTGAAAAGTCCTGTGGCATGCGCATTCCCCATTAACAGGTTATGCACCTGGGAAATTAAAATTAAACTGTGTTGAAGTGGGAAGAGTAGAGTGAGGAGTAAAATGATTTTCACAGATCTGCTGACTCTCTTTGGGTGTCCAAAAGGCTCCTGTGGGTTCTTAAAGTACTAGAGGCCAATTCAGTTCCCTGTTTGGTTAATTCATTAACCTTCAGGCCAGCACACAAAAAGCCTTCAACTGTCTGCTCATCCCACGTGATTTATTCTTAGTTCTGCTATATTTAGGACTGCAGTAGAGAGTCTTGGAAGTGTTGCTGCTCAAGACTGTAGGCTTGTGATCCCACTTGCTCTCTGAACTTTGGATTTTCCATGGATGACAGGGATGTTACAGAAGTATGTGTGCATTTTTGAGATGTTGAGAGTGATTTAACAGTCCCAAATAAGCTGGCTCATGCTAAACTACAAGCTTCCTTTATCAGCCTCCTAGCATACCCTTAGGTTAGAGTCACACCAGTGTTGTGATTGGAGAGCAGTACACCGAGGTGGATGTGAACTTTTGTTTCCCCTGCGCAGGCTCTTAAAATAGTTGTGTGCTTGTTTGTTTCACCTTGTGCCTTTTCAAAGGCACAGAAACTGAAGAAGCAAGTGCTTTTACCAGCTGTAAACATTGCCTTCTCCCCTCTTTGGCCGAAAATAAGTCACACCTCTAATGGCTTAACAAACAGGGTTAGAAGGGAAAAAATATTTTTCCTTTGTGTTTACTTTGTGCTTTTTACAGCTCTGAGTGCTGTCACTGTCATTGTTTCCCCTTTATTGTCCAGTAATTTCCCCTCTTGTCCACGTGGGTCTTTCCCACAACACAGGAGAGAAAAACAAGTATAAAAAGTAGGAAAACACTATTGTAAAACCAAAGAAAGAGGGAGTCTGCCTGTGCTGTGGGCAGGTGGAAGGTCATAACTCGTTTTCACACATGAAGCAGAGATGAAGGTGATAAGGGCTCTTTAAACTTTCCGGCATTAGCTTAACTCATGGAAAAAGCAGACTTTTTGGCTAAATTTCATACTACCCCAGCAGTAGCCTTTTGCTGATGGCTTTTCTGTCTCCTAGGACCAGACTGTCAGCAGCTGTAAACAGCACTTGAGAGTTCAGCACACAGATTTTTTCCAATGAGTTTCGCGTGTTGGCTGCAGTGCTTATTTTGAAAATCCAGTTCAGATCAGTGCTGATAACTCAAAAACTTGTTCCAAAGTTATACCTATTTCTCCAGTGTCCCTGGGTGGTCCAACTCTTGTCAAGACTTTCTTGAGAAGTACTTGGAGCTATTTTTTGTGCTG